CGTCTGTTTCCTGACTCCCCCTTGCCATTGGCACAAAATTTAAAAGCTTTACCTATCCTTCAGTGTCTCATTTATGTCTTTTTAAATGTAGTCATTAATAATTGTAATGAAGATGAAGAGAGGGAAGATGAGGAAGAAGGCAGAGAGGAGGAAGAGGAGAGAAGGAAGAGGCAAAACAGGAAGAAGAGGAGGAGGAGGGAAGAAGAAGGGAAGGAGGAAGAGAGAGGAAGAAGAAGGAATAGGGAAGGAGGAAGGAGGAAGAAGGGGAGGAGGAAGAGAGAGAGGAGGAAGGAGGGGAGGGGGAGGGCAGGGAGGAGGAAGAGGAGGGGGAGGAAAGGGAGGGACTGAGCATTTTCTAGAAGATGTTCCAGGTGCTTCACACTGATGTCATATTCTTCACAAGGGCTTTACCAGCATCAAACCGAGCTGGCACCCTGATTGCAGACTTTCACGCTCCATAACTGTGAGAAATAATTTTCTTTGTTTATAAGGTACCCCATCTGTGGTATTTTGTTATCGTAGCCCAAACAAAGTTCAAATGCTTAAAATCTTTGAAATTCTGAGTTTAACATCAACAAACATACTCTCTAAGGAGCTCAAACTAAAATTAGGTACTGAAATTATGTCAGCACAGAATGCATTTGAAATATAAATACATCTATGTATATACATATGAAGATACAGACACACACCCACATATCCATGTATGGATTCTAGGGAAAGCTATGTTTAGTCTTTCCAATGGAAACCATACGGATGAACTTTTCAGAGCATTTGCTTATAATTCCTCTAATCTGTAACTCATGCACCATCTATTACTTTCTCAAGAATTTGGTTGTACATAGGCACCTGGGTGACTCAGTAGGTTAAGCGTCTGCCTTCGGCTCAGGTCATGATCCCAGGGTCCTGGTATCGAGTCCCGTATTGGGCTCCCTGATCAGTGGGGAGCCTGCTTCTCCCTCTCCCCCCGTCTGCTGCTCCGCCTACCTGTGCTCTCTCTCTGTCAAATAAATAAATAAAATCTTTAAAAAAAATTTGGTCATACATGTTATCATGAGTTTTACCTGAGAAAGCTGAATTATTGAATATATATACAATGAAATACATTAATAAATATCTAATTAGTGAATTAATTTTTATTGACTCTCTACTAGACTAGTATGGCAGGAGGAGTTGCACTTGGGTGTTTAGAAATATGCTTCTCCACTAAATTGAGTCTTCTTGAGGGAATTATTTTTAGATTTATTTTTTTATATTACAGAGAGAGCAAGCGAGTGTGAGCAGGGAGAAAGAGACGGAGAGGGAGAGAGAATCTTTTTTTATTATTATCATTTTTTATTATGTTATGTTATTCACCATACATTACATCATTAGTCTTTTTGTTGTTTTTCTATTTTTTATTTTTTAATTTTATATGTTATGTTAATCACCATACATTACATCATTAGTCTTTATTTTATATGTTATGTTAATCACCATACATTACATCATTAGTTTTTGATGTAGTGTTCCATGATTCATTGTTTGCGTATAACACCCAGTGCTCCATGCAGTACGTGCCCTCTTTAATACCAATCACCAGGCTAACCAATCTGCCCCCCGCTCCCCTCTAGAACCCTCAGTTTGTTTCTCAGAGTCCATAGTCTCTCATGGTTCATCTCCCCCTCCGATTTTACCCCCTTCATTTTTCCCTTCCTGCTACCTTAAGTAGACTTTATGCCCAACCCTGAGCCAGATGCGGGGCTTGATCCCAGGACGCTGAGATCAGGACCTGAGCTGAAACCAAGAGTTGGATGCTCAACCCACTGCACCACCCAGACTCCCCAAGGAAATTTTTTTTTTAACTTTCTACCTAGAACATACTACATAGCAGGTTCTCCTAATATATATGTATATATATATATATAAAATATATATGTTTAACAATTATTAGTTACAATTAATATGTTATTTAATACATAATCTGTTAGCAAATATATTATATTAATATATATTCAATAATAATGTATAATGTATTGATATAATTAAGAAAATTATGTATTTATATATATTTATGAATAGATTTCTGGTAGTCTTTTTAAGTTGAAATTCCACAATATGACAAATTGTGATATTCATGACCCAGCTTCCTATGGTAATTATCTTGTACAAGCAATTTTATGTTAATGCTTAGACACATGTGTCTATGTCCAATGACATGGACACATGTCACTTGATTATATAATAGAGCAAAAATAAGACCAGGGAAGTCTATAAATCATTGAGAGGGTTAACATTTCAACCAAAGAGGTGCTTACTAACTAATCTCCAATTGACATTGGAAATTGATTTTAGTTTTCTATTCTATCTTATTTCTTAAAAGTTTGCAAATCAAGTCAAACATTCAGATTGAGGTATAACAGCACTTCTTATCTAGAATTCTGTGTTAATGCTTCTAGCAAGAGTCATTGTCTGGATACCTTTATATAACTGTTCTCTCTTATGCTCAATATGTAATATACCTTCATCACCATGTGCTTAATCGGGAAACCCCCTTATTTGGAATGTCTCCCAAGGAATCAAATTAAGCCTAATTATACTTAATGGCAATGACTGCTTCTTAATTTGGATGGTAATTCTGCTTAATTGAGATGCCTTCAGGTGTCTAAGTGGTGCTCTAGTAAAGAGTATTGGTGTGTATGAGTGCATCAACCTGCAATGTCTTGTTTCTTCTCTGAACACTTCACCAAAATAAAGGAAAGAAGGCAAATAATTTACTGAAGCAATATAACACAAGTTTCCCGAAATTTAACGTGTTAATTGTTGAGTGTTCAGAATCAACAAAATCTGTACAAAATCATGAGAAATATCTATGTAAATGTATGCAAAGATGAGAGAGAAAAGTGAAACTCCTAAAATGAGAAAAATGTATCAATCCAAACTGCATACGTTCATTATTTTATTGATCATTTTACAGTTTGGCCAAGTTGAAAAATCACCTTCAAAATGTCAAAGAACACACCTCATGCATTTTAACAAATTTTAGGCCACTGGAGTCTGGTAAAATAGGAAAATAATGGTATCTAAAATACATCATAAACAAAATATGAATCTGATGATTACCGAAACCTCTTTCTTTGACATTTTGCTTGTGTGCATGTGGTAGGCACACTGGTTACCATAACCATCAGCCTTGTCTTCTGGCTTCCAGATAGTTCTTTCCTCAGGCTCCCTGGGAGCCGGGAGACTTAGTTGGACCTGAAGGGAAGTCTGCTAGGGACATTCTAGAAAATTTCTTCCATTTTTGAGAAAGACATGCCTCATTTCTTCATTGACCATGATTACGTCACGGCCATCTTGTGACCTGAGGAGGGCAGGCATTGTTACCACCCTGGATATGGAGTAGGAAAGAATGGGAAACATCTGGATCTTCAACAATGTTCCTGACCTCCTGAATTAAACCTGGAATCTTGCTGGCTCTACCCTTTTGTTATGTGAAATAATGTTTCTTAAAAACTTCTTCTAATACCTACAGCCAAAAACATCCTATTGACACACTGAATAACCTATTATTTCATTTCCATATGGCATCCCTCATGCTGATAATGGAGTACATAGCTGCAGAAATAAATGACTCTTCTTACAGAGACGAGAGCTAATGAAGTACCATCATGTGCAGGACCCATGTCCTCATCCTGCTGTAAGAGCAAAATAGCTGTGAAATCTTTAACAAGTACATTCCATGGATCTTGGTTTCTCACCTGACAGGTAAAGGGTATTCAGACAATAGGAATTCTAAGCTTCCTTTTAGATAGGGATTTCAATTATTCTAGTATGTATGGGAAAGAAAGAAACTCAGATACATAGGTATATCTGTAGTATAAAAATATTCATGATTATTTATATGTGATCTGGATTTAAATGAATTTTGAAAATACCATAAGGGTTTTAATCAAATTTCCTGGAGATTTAGCTTGGAGCCACCTGCCTGTCCTATCAGAACGCCATGGGTTCACTGCTTCTTCCACATAAAAGCCTTCAATGCTTTAAAGCTCTTTATATGACACTTAGAATTGCAAAAATCCTTATCATTTATTACAGTGGAAGCCCACTCCATCCTGCAACTGACACAGAGAGAAAACTATGCCACCAGCTTGACTCTCTTTGACTCTGTTTGGCTTCTCTGCATAACATCATGCATATCCCAGATCTCAGCAGCTAACAACACACTTGTGAATTCCAAATTTACTTCAACCAGTTATGTCCACTTGAATGAATATACAGCAGGCACCTCAGTCTCATTATACCTAAAACCGAACTCATTATCTCTTCCCATAAAAAAAGAAACAAACAAATAAAAAAAAAACAAAAATTTATTCCTGAGGCCCTTTCCCTGGTTCAGGGTAGGGAGATCCTGTATTATTCCAAACAGGAACAATTTGGAGAATAAAGGAAGGTTATTATTAATAATGGTGCAGGAACCACAGATGTAGGTTAGGGTGCCCCCAGTTCATTCTGGTAAGGGCTTCACCACCCACCTCCCAACCCATTCTTGATTCTCTCTTGATTCCATTGCCTTTATAGTTACTGTACTGTACCCTTGAGAGTTCCCAAGAGAGTAGATCTTAAAAGTTTTACCACAATAATTTTATAATTATGTGAGATAACATATGTTAACTGCTATATATATATCTCAAATAATTACGTTATACACTCTAATGTAAGACAGTATTATATGTCAATTATATCTCAACAAAACTGCTGAGGGTGGGAGAAGAACATAGACAGAACCTCCAGAACCAGTGGGAGGCTTCCAAATGAAGAATACTCACTTTATATTTAATCCTAGACTGAGTTTCCAATAAATGCGGATATATCTATACAAGGCAGCATGAGCTCTTCAATTCAAACAGCAAACTGTAAGGGTGCATGACATTTGCGAGGCTGTTCATCTTATACAGTTGTCTGAGTCAGAGTATTGATTGCATCAGCTATACAGAGGTGGAAGGTGGAAGCCTTACCTTGTCTGGATCTGTTGTGGTAATGACCCACACACAGTGCGCATTGTCTTCATACTGCACTGGGTAATTAGGGGAAGTAATGATGCCACTGGGCCCACGCAGATTTGATCCACATGTTCTAGCTAGAAATACATAGAGATGGTATTATTTTCTGCAGCATTTTATCGGTGTGGTGAAGAAATAACAGAAACATGGAACATCAAATTAGCTATTCACTAATTATGATAAAAAGTGGTTCATGAACTCAAGTTGGTGAATGAAGTTTGCTCAGCCATCAGGACCCTTGTTTGGTACCTGCGATGCTAAACTGAACCCAAGGCATTACCATTCAGAGAATGACCACTTCCCTGATATCATCATGGACAATGTCAAATCAAATTGGTCCATTTCAAATCCCTCTCTGACTCAAAGAGAGTCTGCCTATACATTTCTCTGGACATGCCATAGATGGAGTTCCAGAGACCCCCCACTACACCCTACACTGTAGGATAACTTCATCTTTTCCACTGTAAATGAGGATGGTGGGACAGATCATCTCCAAAGTCTCTTTTAAGCTTTAGATTCTGTTCTGCAATCAACTATGCAAATTTCTTTACAGCACAATGCAAACAGGAACTTCAAATAGAGTCGACAATTTAGAGAAAGAAAATAGACATAAGGACTCTAAAAGGAAAAAAGAAAAAAAAAACTACCCTAAATTGGAAGACCAAGCAAATTATAGAAATGACATAACCCAACAAATATGACTGTTTTTTACTATAAAACAAATATTTCAACTAACCTCCATTTTAAGAAAGGAGGTTTTTTTTTCAAATCAATAGATAATTTTTAGAAATCAAATGTCAGCTTGCAATGCAATCCAGTCTTCACATTAATAATTTGAACTGGATTTGAGAAAAGAGCAGGAGAAACTAATTTCGCAAGAAAGAACTAATGTAAGGGAAGCTATAGTTCATTTTCCTTAGATTTCATATCACACAAACTGATTAAATTGTCACCCAATAAAAGATTAATCCTAGTCAGATTCCATCTTGCCTTTGTTCTTTTTCTTGGTTGAGCACCCAATACAGGTTGGGCATTGTTGTGGGTGATTCAGTCACAAAATTGAGAGAATAGGATTCCGACTTCCACGGGCCCTCTTATTGCTGAAGGGTCAGGAGAAACATTTAACTGAGCTCTTCCTTTTTTTTTTTTTTTACGATTTTATTTATTTCAGAGAGAGAGAGTGAGAGAAAGAGAGAGCACAAGAGGGAGTAGGGTCAGAGGGAGAAGCAGGCTGTCCACTGAGCAGGGAGCCTGACGTGGAACTGGATCCTGAACCAAGGCTTAACAGACTGACCCACCCAGGTGCCCTAGCTGAGCTCTTCCTAACTGCCCCCAGGAATATACACTTCTTGTCCTATATATCAACATAACAATAACACAAACTACACCTATTCCTGATAATAGTTCTTTATTGTAATGATTAACTGACAGATCTATCTTTCCTACAAAGTCGTGAATTTCTTGACTTTGAAAAAGCATCCTTCCCTTATCGTTAGCACCATATCCAGTGTCTATAATTGTGGAAATAAAAATGTGAAGAGTAGACAACTTTTCAGTTGTTTGATACTTACTATGAAAATAATTAGCTAAAAATTAATCTGCTATACACTGAATAACAAAAACATGGGGTAATCAATGTTTAAAATATTGACATTTACTTCACTAATGGACAAGATTTCCTAGATCAAGATGCATAAAAGATGGTCTGGTTTTCAAAATTCAGTAGGTGTGTCCTGGCTTGAAAGATCCTCCAACTGAGAGCTAACTGCACATAAACACATCCACCTCTGCACTCAATGAATCTAGTTTTAGGAGCATGTTCTCAGAACAGATCATGAGCTTCAGATGTGAAAGTCTCTTAAACCATCCTGTTAACAGCATTCATCAGAAAACCTTAGAAGAAAAGTTATCATCAATAAATGTTGAGTTACAATGTCTTTATCTTACATGCTCATTCTTTGTTAAATTTCACACTGAAAAGTTGATACAAGCATAATGTTGTGTTACTCAATAAATATTTTTATTTTACTTAGTTTTGAATTAATAGTATCAAAGTGCCGTTCTAAGGATTTCAAACTTCAAAAAACACATCTGAAGAGTGAGTGAGTGCAATGGGGAACTAATTTGTTACATTCCCACGGACAATTTGTGTCCATCCAGCCATTAGCCCCAGCTATCACTCTGCTGGAAAGTTCACCAAATCTGACATTCCATCAGTGGCCTTGTGTCCCACTTGTCTGCTTTGAAGTTTGACCCTTAACTTGACTTATTCAAATTGCCTACCTGCTCTCCATGAAATTCATCTTACCACTGCTTGGGGAAATATGATTTTTAGTGATCATATATTTTAGTGAGATAACCATTAGTAAAATATTTATAGGAAAGCAGCACATTTCCCAGAGTTTCATGCATACTTAGGACTGTTTCACATAGAGTGGATGATAAATCCAGTCTCCTCGGAGATATTTTTCACCAGAAATTGTCAGATTAATTCATAAAATAATTTTTCTTTTTCTTTTTTGTCTAAGAAATATATTTCCATTTTTGCAATGCGTTTTTCTAATCCATTAATTTTAACTATTTTTTAACCCATACTTTTTAAATCAAGCAATCAAAATAATCAGCAGAAATAAAATATGTGGGAATATTCAGGGCATATTCTGTTTTGATAATTAGAACAATTCCTAGAATTTGATAATTTTCCCCATAAATACTTATTGTAGTTTTTCAATAGTATAATGGCTTTATTTTTATTTTTTAAACCTTTTTTTTTTTAAGATTTTATTTATTTATTTGAGAGAGAGAATGAGATAGAGCATGAGACGGGGGAGGGTCAGAGGGAGAAGCAGACCCCCCGCCGAGCAGGGAGCCCGATGCGGGACTCGATCCCGGGACTCCAGGATCATGACCCCAGCCGAAGGCAGACACTTAGCCGACTGAGCCACCCAGGAGTCCCAATAATAGTATGAGTTTAAATAATACGATCTACCTATAATTATTTAATTCTAATCCTCTGTTATGAGAAACTGAAAACTTCAGCTAGTATCACAGACTTTACCCTTCGAAATCTTCCCCATCCTCATCATCTGCTTCTTCACCAAATGAAGTTATTACTGTCATTACACCAATTATGTTTGTTTCATTAGGTGCTGCTTTCCGTGTCAAGGCCCTCCTACTAATCACAGATAATCCTTAGATTTTCCACTGGCAACCACTCAAAGTCCAATGTGCAGAGTCCTTATTGAATAATAATGATGTATTTTGAATTATCATGATTTCTATGGATTATTATCCAGGTGCACACAGCGGTTGCCAGGCAGACTGGGCGTTATCTTCTGAATCTCCTGCAGACAGTCTGTCACCTGGGGTTCTCTTTCTGTTCTGTGGTTCTGTGGCAGGTTATATGAAATGGCCAGTTCCCTGAATTTTAGGGCCAAGTAAGCCACACCGTTCGCTGTGTCACACCCCAAACTTCCTCCTCGTCAGCTTCAAGCATCAGAAGGCTAATTTCCTTCATATCCTCTGTATATCATACGTCTTGTGAAAACCTAATCTTCGTGAAGACTAAGAGCTAGAGAAGAACACAGAACAACCTGAGGGACGAGAAAGGAACCAGGACTAAGAACTCTACTGCCATGTGTCCAATGGCTGAGCCTCACGTGCCGCGGAGCCACGGGGATGTTCAGTGTGTGTGCTTCTGCACCCCGACCCCTCCCCAAGATCATGTTCTGTAAGAATATGAGGGATGGGCCAGCCTGCAGGGCAGGAAGGAAGAACGGGAGTTGAGGGGATCAGCAGGGCATACAGAACCTTCTAAAGGAGGATGGTTAGTATCAGTTTATCTGCAAACCACATCTGGATTGCTTTGCCAGCAGTTTTTCTGCTAGAACTGAATAGGAACTTGACCAATGCTGTGGACATTCATAAAGCCATGCTATTATCTAATTCGGATGGTTAGAACCCTGAAGATTTGTCCCCTGGCCTCTTTCCGCTCCTGGACTCTTGGCTGACTCCTCAGGGCACACTGGGAGTGGATCGTGTAGCTTTTCAGACAAGTACAGACCTGTTAGCTTAGCAAAGCTGTCCAGATGATGGAGAGCAATTGCACAGTGCCCTTGGAGGAGGGGGACTTCCTCGTCAACATGGGCTTCTGTACTAAGAAGGGATTCAGGTAGTCCGCAAAGTATTTCCTTGGCCAACATACTTAAGCAATGATAATACTGTCATGCCAAACAAGGTTTTATAGCAAGATTTAAAAATATTTCCATTGTTGAAACGTATATGTATATATTTTTACATATTATAACTGAACCACTTTCTACTCATGCTAAGGTCTCTCCCTTGTCAAGATTTTCCTGGAAATACAACATCTAATATAAAGTAATACATACTTAAATGCTTAATAATGCTTAATACATGGCCTTTGGTAATCACTGTGACCTAATGTACAGCTAATATTATTCACGTGGCAGTGTTCTAAATTTGTAAACTCAAAATTTACTTATATGTCTTATGTTTTCAAAATTAAATGAGAATTCACAAAATGATAGTTGAAAATATATCAAGAGGGAAAGTGGACAGGGAGGAAAAAAACTGATTTTGAATGCAAATATATGCCATTTATCTATTTAATCAATGAATATTTATTAAGTACAAAACATATTTGTTTCACATAATTTATCTAATGTAATATGAAGTAATAATTTGCCTACTTATGTAAATTCAGTTCCAGGACTCTGTACTGTTCTATAGTAACTATTGAATTAATCAAGTTAATTGGAGAAGAATATTCTAATTGACGAAATTTAAATTAAGAGGTTACCTGGACTCAGTTGAAGCATGTTTCAAGCACATTAATAATAAATTTGATACTCTGTTTCTTATATGTTTTTAGGAGAAAGCATTTTTTTTCAATCACAGCTTTTATGTTCGTTTCCAGATTGTCAACCAAAGCAGAGAACGTATGTCATAGAGGTTAAGAGTTGCTTGTCTTAATCAGAGCTGAGTTCCAAGCCTGGTTTATGCAGTTACTGGACGGCTAGTCTTTTTTTTTTTTTGGACGGCTAATCTTAATTTA